TAGAAATACATCAGGGAGTGGGAGCCTGGGGAAGGGAGCCGCTGAGACCCCGGGATCCTCTTCTAGGCGCCCAACCCAGGTCCCAGGTTGACGAGGACAGGAGGAGAGGAGCGGGGTCTAGAAGCGCTAAGGGGGCAGTGCGACACGGAAGGGCAGGACTTAGGGGCGCGAGTGGAGGGTCTGGATGAACCACGCCAGAGTGGGGAGAATCTAGGCTGAGGGCGACGGGGATGGCGCTCTCCCGAGTCCTGCGCGCTGACAGGACGGTGCCCTAGCTCTTCCCGCGCAGAGGCCATTTCTCTCCCCACCCCGCACTCACCCGCCCAGGTCTCTGTCAGGGCCAGGGCCCCGGACAGCATAAGGAGCAGCGTTCGGGGCACTGTCACCCCCATCCTGCAGCTTTGCCGAGATCTGGGACTTGGCCGGCGGGTGGGACTTTAAAACCCGAACCGCGATGAAGCTGATTGGCTTCTCTAGGAGCAAGACACGCAATGGGAGTGAGACCTGCAGGCGCGTCAGGAGTGTCCAGGCAGAAGGACCTGACAAGGGTTGGGAGAAGAAGAAGTGAAACTCGAGAGAGAAGAAAATCCCCAGTGCTGGGTGTCCACACCATGGCCCCCTCTAGACCCTGAGAGCCACGCCCAGGGCTGGGACTTTCTCCTGTACACTCCTCTGTACTAAACACTCTTTGTCACACTGTCCCCTGTTTCCTGCTTCAGGGTGTAAAATCAGTAGTTCTCAAACGTTTTGGTTTCAGGATCTTCACATGCTCTTAGAAAGCAGTGTGCACTCCAGAGTGATTGGTTAATGGGGATTATGTCTGTCAATATTTACCATATTAGAAATTAATTCCACGTTAAAGATATGTTATTCCTTCTGAGTATTTATAACTAATTGCATGTAACAAACAGCAATTTCAAAGAGAAATAACTGTTTTCCAAAATCAAAAGATTTAGTCTGAACACTTAATGTTTTTTCTTTTTACAAGTTGAAAGTCCTTTCTATGTGTCCTAGAGAATGCTAGATATCATGTGTTCTGCATTTATCCTGTGACTTTGAAACAACAACAACAACGAAAAATGCATCCTCCATATTACCAAAAGCACTCTACAGATTCAACGCAATTCTGATCAAAATCCCAATGGCATTCCTCACAGAAATAGAAAAAGCAATTATGAAATTCATATGGAAAAAAAGAGAAACCCAGAATAGCTAAAGCAATACTAAGCAGAAAGAATGAAATAGGTGGTATTGCTATACCAGATCTTAAACTATACTACAGAGCAATAGTAACAAAAACAGCATGGTACCAGCACCAAAAAAGGCTGGTAGATCAATGGTACAGAATAGAGGACACAGAGACCAACCCATAAAACTACAACTAGTTTATATTAGACAAAGTGCTAAAAGCATGCAATGGAGGAAGGATAGCATCTTCAACAAATGGTGCTGGGAAAACTGGAAATCCATATGCAACAAAATGAAATTGAATCCCTATCTCTCACCATTCACAAAAGTTAACTCAAAATGGATCAAGGATCTAGGAATCAAACCAAAGACTATGCGTCTAATAGAAGAAAAAGTTGACCCTGATCTCTATCATGTGGGGTTAGGCCCCAAGTTTATTAATAAGATGCCTATAGCACAAGAATTAAAACCAAGAATCAAAAATGGGACGAATTCAAACTAAAATGTTTTTTTCTCAGCAACAGAAATAATATATGAAGTGAATAGGGATCCTACATCCTGGGAACAATTTTTTACCCCTCACACATCAGATAGAGCTCTAATCTCTAGAGTATAGAAAGAACTCAAAAAGCTAAACAACAAAAAAAATAATAATCCAATCAACAAATGGGCCAAGGACCTGAAAAGACACTTTTCAGAAGAGGATATACAAATAATCAACAAATACACGAAAAAATACTCACCATTGCTAGCAATCAGAGAAATGCAAATCAAAACACTCTATCATACCATGTCAATCCAGTAAGAATGGCAGCCATTATGAAGACAAACAACAACAAGTGCTGGAGAGGATGTGGGGGAAAAGGTACACTTGTACATTGCTGGTGGGACTGAAAATTTGTGCATCCAATTTGGAAAGCAGTTTGGAGATTCCTTGGAAAACTGGGAATGGAACCATCGTTTGACCCAGTTATTTCTCTTCTAGGACTATACTCAACAGACCTAAAAATGGCATACTACAGGGACACAGCTATATCAATGTTTATAGCAGCACAATTCACAATAGCTAGACTATGGAGCCAAACTAGATGCCCTTCAATGGATGAATGGATTAAAAAATGTGGCATTTATACACGATGGAATATTACTCAGCATTAAAAAATAACAAGATCATGGCATTTGCAGGGAAATGGATGGCATTAGAGCAGATTATGCTAAGTGAAGTTAGCCAAT